ATCCCCCCCCCCCAGCTGCAACCCTGGCATCCCATTACTTGCCGTGTCCCCCACCCAGAGCCAGGCACCTCCCCAGCAGCCCCCAGCCCCGCTCCTCCACCACCGCCGCCACGTCTCCCCTCCGCTATTGTCAGAGGGTTGCCTCTGCCTCTGTCTGCGAAATTAATTCGGAGGTGGAGAGGGAGAATTATGTAAAGTGTGGTTATTCTGGAGCGGCGGGGGAAGCGCGGCTGATGGCAAAGTGCCTTTTTGTGTGTTTAATATGCATTTTTTTCCAGCGGTGCATTTTCAGGCGGGTAATTTGCTGTCTTTTCAGACCCCGATCAGTATCATTTCTCCGGCAATGACAGCTTTTATTTGCACTGAAATGAATGCTGCGAAATTTCCAAGAAATAGCCAAGGCCCCGTTGGCTGCCCACCCCCGCAGGGCCGGGGCATAGGCACTCACTGGCGCCTGCCCCCCACAGCCCCCCACAGCCCCTGCAGCCCTCCGGCCAGCCCCTGCCCGTGGCCCTGCTGGGCCCAGGGGTGCTGGTCACACCTGTGTTCACAGGTGTGTGTGCCCTGGCTCCCCCCACCCCTCGAGCCCTGTGTGCACACCAGCACGACACACCTAGGGGTGGGTATATATATATCCCCCCAACACATGGGCACATATAGACACCCCTTGTGCACACACCCACACCTGCTCGTGCACATACATAGCCCCAGCACAGCACCCCTCCTTCTGTGCACACACACACCCCCCAGTCCATGCATATCCCCCCTTAACACATACACCCCCCTCCTTGTGTGCTGGGGGGGGGCCCTCCCCACTTTGTATCCCCCCAGACCTGGGCACTGCACCCCTGACCCAGAGCACCAGGCTGCCAGGAGGGTTTGGGGGTCCCCCATGCACCTCTCTCAGCACAGCATGGCCCTTGGGGAAACTGAGGCATGGGGGGGGTGTGGTGTGTGTGCAGGCACAGACAGGTGCTCTCTCCACAGCCGATCACCTCTCCAGGCACTGGCAACAATGGGTGGGGGCCTGGAGAAGACGCAGGGTGTGTGTCTGTTGTCTGCCTGTCCCCATGGTAGGCAGGAAGAAGAGACGCTGTTTGTGTAGGTGTGCGCCGTGTGGGCGTCGTGTGCCGGAGCTGCTGTGCCACTGTGTGATGCTGCCTCGGCAGCGGCCGTGCAGGCAGCGGGTGCACATCTGGGTGTGCACACACGTGCCCGTGTCAGCCCCCTGCCCGCATCCCGGTGGGCGTGACGGCATGTGTCTGCGGGGCTGGCACGGGCACACGCGTCCATGCGAGGCCGTAGGGGCAGCTCCGACTGGGACGACATCCCCCTGCGCGTGTGTGTGACGCTGTGCATGCAGCAGGGTGTGCTTCCCGTGTGTGATGAATGGTGTTGGGGGGTGCCCCTGTGCAGAGCTGCATCCCCCCACAACAGCGTGGGGGGCTGCACGCCCCCAGCCTTGGTCCCATACACCCCCCGCCGCAGGTCCCCAGCTGCAGTGGAGCTGGTGCCTGGCACGGCCAAGGTTAACTCTGCTGGAGCCCGTCGGCATGGTGCAGGGAAGCTTTAATTTAATGAAGTGTGAGGCTTTTTATGGGCTTTTAATTACGTGGTGATAATTAACATTATAGGCCGCCAGGTCCCGCTGGTGCCCGACTGCCCTGTGCCAGCTCCCGCCTGTTTGTAAATAAACCCGGCGGGCAGCGCGGTGCCCACCCTGAGGCACCCACCTCCCGTGGTGGGGAGCAAAACCAGCCCCAGACCCCTGCCCCCGTACCGGGGTGGGGATTCGGGCACAATCCACTGCAAAACGTGGGGAGCAAGGGGCCCCCCCATTTTTTCCCCCCAGCATCACCCAGCCTCCTGGGTTTTTCCAGCCCTCTGACTGAGCCGTTGCCAGCTGGCAGTGCCAGGCCTGGGGAGGGTGGGCACAGGCAGCAGTGCCACGCGTGTCCCCCCACCCAGAGCCCAGCCCAGCCTGGAGCAGCCCCCCCTGTGCCGGGGCTAATAGGAAGCGATCCATCAGGCAGCACCGGGGCAAGCTGCCTGCCTGCCAGGCACCCGATGGATTTATCATCCAGCGCCCAGGCAATTTCCTGCCCTCCTCTAATCAATAGGGGGGGGGGTGTGTCAGGGGACAATGCCAGCTCCCTGCTGCAGGTCATGATGGGTGGGGGGAGATGGCAATGTCCCATGAGACAGGTCCCAGCAAGGCCAGGAGATCCAGGTGTCCAGGTAAGGCCCCCCCCAGCCCCCAGTCACTTCCCCCTCTCCCTGCCAGGAGCAGGGGCTCAGACCCCACAGGGGGCCCTACAGATTAAAGCATCTGGGTGCCCCCCACCCAGCAGCACCAGAGGTGCCGAGCAAGATCTGGGGTGTCATACCCTGCAGCCATTAGGGCCAGCACCCAGCTGCTCCCCCCCCACCCCCAGCCTCACACAGGGAACCCAGGCATCTAGGCTCCCCTCCCCCACCCTTTCCCATTTAATTTTTCCTAATGAAAGGCAGGGAGGATGGTGGGGAGCTGGGGCACCAAGGTCGAGGCTGCCTTTAATCAATCCCTGCTGCTGGCTGGGTGCCCGGAGGAGTCAGTGGAGGAGTGGCTGGGGGCTGCAGGAGGGGGGAAGCACAGGGAGGGGGATTGCAGGGTGCGACCAAGGGGCTCCCAGTAGCCAACTGGGGCACCCAGTGCTTGGCCCTCCCTGGGACCCCAC